TTTGTTGAACTTTCTCATTCTGTCAGTCATGTTGCTTAACCGCTCATTCATATGTCCCAGGCCTTTAGCTTTTCATCTTGAATTCTGGGCAGTTTTCTCATACTTATCATACAGTTTACTAATCCTTACCTTAGATATTTTTAATCATGTGTTTAAGCTATCCGTTGAGGTTTTTTGTTTGTTTTAGTTTTTTTTTTTTTTTAATTGGTAGAGGGTGCAATAGAGAGAGAGATAGAGAGGTAGAGAGAGAAAGAGAGAGAAAGGGAGACAATATCGCCACAGTGGTGGCATGGTCATGCTAAATCCCTTCTCCATTTCTCCATCCTGTTGAGATTTTGTGCATACACATGTGCCTGGTGTGTTTCTTAAGCCATTGGGGCTGGGATTCAAAGCATGGTCAACCAGATGGGATCTGGCTCCTTTACTCAGTAGACCATGGGGCCAGCTCGAATTCTCTATTGAATTTTCAATTTGTCATTAAGTTATCATTTGTAGAAGTGGCATTTGGTTATTTTTCATGCTTTAATGTTTTTTCTTTGTTTTAGATCTCTAATCATTTTAAACATATAGTCTCTACCTGAAATCTTACATATGTTAAATGTTTTTTTAATTGCCAGAGGGCATGTGCACTTACTAGAGACAGAGAGGTGGGAGGGGCAGAGAACACCTTGCAATGGGATGTGGTTATGCCACAGTCCTTTCTCCTCTGTTTCTCCATCCTGTCAGGATTTGGGTCATGCATGCATACATGACTGATGAGTTTTTTCAAGCTGCCAGTGCTTGGATTTCAGCTATGTAATCAGCCATATGGGATTCATCTCTCTTAACCAATAGGCTATGGGGCCAGTCTTCTACCTGAAAAATTTGAAGTTGATCTTGTCTTTTTTATTGCCTCTGTTATGTCATGGTGGATTCTATTTTAAATTTCTCTGGAATAGGGTTTTGTTTGCTTTTGTCATTTGTTCACAGATATTTTGGTTATAATTTATTTAAATTTTATTTATTTATTTATTATTATTATTATTATTTTTTTGGAGAGGTTTTTGCTATAGGGCACGTGTGCTTGCCAGAAAGACAGAGACAGAGAGACAGAAAGAGAGAAATCACCCCCTCTTCAGGGGGGATGGCCACGTCACAATCCCTTCTCCTCTTGGGATCTTGGGCACACACACACATGTACCTGGCATGAGTTTAAGCCACCAGGTCCGGGACTTGAACCGCGGTCAACTACATGGGGGTTTAGCAACATAGCCATTACATTAACTGCTGGTCCCTAAAGTTTATTTATTCATCTCTTTGATGAGTGACAGAAATGGAAAGAAAGCACCCCTCACATGAGCTCAGTGCCATAATCCACCCCCCAGTTTCAGCCAGTCCAGGATTATGGGCATACCTGTGCACAGTATGATGCTCAAGGTATCTCTCAACATGAGCTTGGAAACTTCCTACATGGGTCAGTCCTGCAGATTGTCATGTTTTACTGCTGCACCACTATCTGATTATCACATTAATTTTTCAGCCTAAGTGTTCCCAGAATGTATATGTCATATAGAGGCAATGCCAAACATACTACTTACTGCTTTGTACTGGTCTGCAGTCACACATTCTCAGAGGCAACTTTATTCTCCACCACAGTTAGTTTCTCAAAAGAACTAATTTTTTTCTTGATGGTGCTGGTAAATAGCTAAAATAATTTGTTTTTGTTTTGTTTTGTTTTTATTTATCTCAGATCCTTGAACATTTCCCTTACTTTCTTACATGCTCAGAAAGGATGCTTATTCTATTTTTTTTAGAATTTCATGAATTCAATAGCAAGGTGCTTTGAAAAAACTGTGTGCCATGTCAGAACTAGAAGTCTGGGAGAAGTTATTTTCCTGCATTTAAAAAAGATTGTATATTCAGCATTATTTCTAATGTGGACTAATTTCAGCGTACTATTTATTTGCAATGGATTTTAGAATGTAAAAGTATTTAGAGATTGAACAATCTATTGACTATGCATAGAGAATAAAGTAGGAGACACCTGACGTCCTGACTTTAAAATATATTACAAACCTGTGATAAGCAAAAACTATGGAATTGGCACAAAAACAGGCAGGTAGACAAATAGAACAGAATTGAGAATATAGAAATGAACCCCAAAACATACAGCTAATTTATTTACAACAAAGGGCATAAAACAACCCAGTTGGGAAAAGAAAATCTCTTCCGCAAATTGTATCCAAAACTGGATACCCACCTGCAGAAAAATGAAACTAGACTCCTATTGTTCACCATTAACAAAAACCAATTCAAAATGGATCAAGGATCTAAACATAAAACCTCAAGCACAGGAGAAACTCTTGGAGACATAGGAGTAGGCAAAGACTTTTTAAATAAGACCCCCAAAACACAGGTACTAATCTTGAAAATAGAGAAGTGAAACACATGAGGCTAAAAGTCTTCTACAGAGTAAAACAAACAGCAATTAGGGCGAGGAGGCAACCATCAGAATGGGCGAATATATACAAACTATTCCGCAGATAAGGGACTGATAACCAGAATATACAGGGAACTCAAGTGGCTTACCCACAAAAACCAAAACCAAAACCAAAACCAAAAAATCCTATCAAAAGATGGTCAAATGAGCTGAACAGACAACTCTCCAAGGAAGACATACAAACGGCCAAAAGCAGATGAAAACATGTTCAACATCTCTTATCACAAGAGAAATGCAAATGAGATATCCATTAACTCCAGTCAGAATGGCTAAGATTAAAAAGAATAAAGAATGATAATTGCTGGTGAGGCTGTGGTAAAAGAGAACCCTCCTCCATTTTGGTGAAATGTAAATTAGTTCACCAATTGTGGAAAACAATATGGAGATTCCTCAGAAAATTACAACTATAGCTAGCATATGACCCAGTAATTCCACTCTTAGGTATCTACCCAAAGGACAGAAAACCCTCAGTCAGAAAAATATTTGCACATCCATGTTCATTGCAGCATTATTCGCAATTGCAAGGATATGGAATCAAACCAAATGCCCAAGAACAGGTGAGTGAATTGAAAAAAATGTGGCCCATGAGGACCAATAGTTAGCGTAATGGCTATGTCGCTGGACTCCCACATAGTCGACTGCGGTTCAAGTCCCAGACCTGGTGGCTTAAACTCACGCTGGGCACATGTGCATACGTGCCCAAGATCCCCAGAGGAGAATGGAGGAGAAGGGATTGCGTCATGGCCATCTTCCGTGGGGGGTGATTTCTCACTTTCTGTCTCTCTGTCTCTCTATGTCTTTCTGGTGAGTGCACATGCCCTATAGCAAAAACCTCTCAAAAAAAAAAACAATGTGGCCCATGTACTCTATGGAATACTACTTAACCATAGAAAGCAACAAGACCCCAGCATTTAATATAAAATAGACAAATATGGAAGGGTTAATGCTAAGTGAATATTTGCACTCTATAGCAGTAGCTGAAATATTGGAAGGTATAAGATCAGATCAGGGAAGCAATTGTTGATACTAGAGATAGTATAGAAAGGGGTGGGTAATAGGACGTGGGAGAGAGGGAATAAGGGAAAAAAATAAAACATTTAAGAGGCAGAAAAATGAAAAGTTATCTGTTGATGATAATGCATATGGTAATGTTTTTGACTTGACTAATATACACCATATTCATGCTGGGGAAAACCATGTTGTACACTGTAAAGATGTACAGTGATTAAATGTAAATTTTAAAAATTAAATAAAAAAAAGAAAAATCTATTGAATTATATAAGTCCTTTGAACTACCTAGGAAATAGTCTTTCTTAATAGGTATTGGAAATGTCTTAGATCATGTTCATTAAATAACAAATTCTGGGGGCCAGTAGGTAGCATGGTAGTTAAAGCACTGAACTCCTACCTGGTTGACTACTATTTGAGTCCAAGACTTAGTGGCTTGAAAACCACACTAGGGGGAACCAGCAGTTAGCGTAATGGCTATGTCGCTGGATTCCCATGTAGTCGACCGC